TCTTGGACCCAAGTGTCACAAGTGTCTATAGCAAAAAGAGAATGATTATCGGTGGGGTATTTCATGGAGTCATAGATATTAAATTCAACTTTCTCACCATCAAATTCCATGGTTAATACTCCACTAAACACATCTACTTTTGCTTTGGCCGTTTTCAAAAAAGGGTCTTCCTAACAGAATCGAGACTGCATTTTTATCGTTCTCCAATTCAAGAACGTAAAAATCAGCGGGAAAGATTAAATTATTCACCATGACGAGCACATCATCTACTACACCTTTTGGGTAAGCATTGGATCTATCGGCAAGTTGGATAACAACCCACGTCTCATGTAAAGGTCCTAGTTCTAGGGACTTATATAGAGAATATGGAATTACATTGATTGATGCACCCAAATCTAACATAGCCCTAGAAAAACTAGGGGCCTGTTTACTAACAGAGACATTTCTACATTTATTTTTCAGTTTTTCTATCTCCAGTTTTCTATTTCTATTTTCTAGTTTTCCATTTTTAAATCTGAAAACATGTTCATCAATTTTTTCACCCAATTCTGTGATCATCCAGAAGACTGACATGTTTACTTCATGGGTTACTAAATGGTGCTTATTAAGACTCGCGTTAATAAGCGACACATAAAATAAGCAATGTTATAAGATCATGTTTACTTCAAAATGTTTAAAACACCGTTTAACATTAAAATGTCCAAAATAATCCTATACATATATAGACATACAAACATTCATGAACACAAATATATAATACGGAGTATAATATAATATGTGGGGTCGATCACCTCGTACGTGTACCCATACTCCTAACCCCTACCCTGCCGTACCCACCCATACTTACTCGTAGGGGTTGGGAAGGAAGGTATGGGTGGGGGTGGGGTAAGGGGTATGGTCGGGGTGGGGTAGTGGGTGGGTTAGGGTGGTGGTTAGGGGTAAGGGTGGGGGTAGTGAGTAGGGTTGGGGTAAGGTAGGGGTAGGGTAGGGAATTGGGATAGCATGGCGATAGGGTGGGGTCGGGATCAGGGTGGGGCCGAGGTAGGGAAAGGGGTAGGGTGGGGGTAGGATGGTGGTGGGGGTAGGGTAGGGGTAACTGGGTAATATACATGGATGGGGGTAGGGTAGGGTGGATCGGGGTGGGGTTGAGGTGATAGGGGGGTGGCGGTAGGGTAGGGTGGATCAGGGTGGGACCGAGGTAGGGGCATGTGGTAGGGGGTGGGGGTAGGGTCATTGTAGGGAAAAGGGGTATGCGGGTTGGGGGTTGGGTGGGTAGGGTAGGGTAGGGTAGGGGTAAGGTACGAAGATGGAGGTATTAGAATGGAATCGACATCGGAGCGGGACCGGACCCACCACTAGGTGTATGCAAATTCATTGCAACGGCCTGTAGCATCTGCGTTTTCTAAATTTGGAAAACTGGTAAAAGTCATTTCTCCAAATCATTAAGGAAAAGAGAGACATGTCTCATTTTTTCGTTTTGGAAAACGTTTTTGTAAACGTGTTTTTCTGATTTCCTTTCTCTAGTTTTCCAGCAATTTTCTTTGGTAAACACGTTTCCTGTTTTCTGTTTTCTAGTTTTCCAGTTCTCTAGAAAACCGGAAAATATCTCTGTTAGTAAATATCTCTGTTACATGGTATAATGAACATTCCCGGGTCACTATACTTTTTAGGCAGTTTCTTTTGGAAAACGGCCGACACTCTTTCACTTACTTGGATTTTATGCTTTCCATTTAATTTGCGTTTCCTTTTAATTGTGCAAAGCTCTTTTAAAAATTTTGCAAATCTAGGAACGCCTTTAATGAAATTGAGAAGAGGGATATTTACCTCGCATTTGGAGAAGTTCTCATAGATGTCCTTGTCATTGTTGTATTTGCGGTTGTCCTTGAGAGCCTCCGGGAAAGGTGGCATCGGCTCATATGAATCGAGCGGTGGGAATTTCTTTTGAGGAATGATCTCCTCCTCTTTTTCCTCTTCATTTGGAGCAGTTGTGCTTGGCACTAACTGCTCCTCCTCTTCTTCTCCAACATGGCTTTTTGCTTTCGCCTTAGCCATCACCAATTCTTTGCCACTTCTCAAAGTGACCGCATGAGCTTGTTTCCTTGGATTCGACTCCATTTGAGATAGAAGCTTTCCCGAATTCTTGGTTTCAAGCCTACTCACCGCACTTGAGATTTCTCATTTGATTCTCAAGGTTGTGGATGCTAGATTTTGTCTCATGTTGAAATTGAACCATGTTTTGTTGCATGGTTGGGACATTTGAGGTGAGGGCTCGGATCATGTCTTCGGTAGACATATTTTGGCTTTGTGATTTAGAATATGGTTGTTTTTGAGGAAATTGATTTTGAGGAGGGTTGTTTTGTTGTAGGTTTCCTTGAGGGTTTCCATATCGAAGATTTGGGTGATCTCTAAACTCAGGATGATAAGTATTGTCATAAGAATCGTACCTCTTTTGATTTGGAAACCCCAAAGCGTTGACTTGCTCGGAGTTGTCTTCTTGAAGAGTTGGGCATGAGTCGGTGGGGTGCCCTTATTGTGTACAAATGCCGCAGACCTTGACTTCTTGGGTCTTAGAATTCAAAAAAAAAAATCCTTAACCAAAGAAGTCAAGCCGGCAACTTGACTTTCCAATGACGATGATGATTCCGCTGCCATGACTCTTTTTGTTGATGACCGCCCATTGTAATGTCTACGATTCTTGGCCAACTCCGAGATAAGATTCATAGCTTGGGAAGGAGTTTTGTTGACGATCCCCCCTCCACATGCGACTTTGATCATCTGCCTATCATCATTGCAAAGACCATCATAAAAGTATAGGATGAGGTCTTGCTCCGAATAGCCGTGGTATTGATAGCTCGCACAAAGTTTCTTGAATCGTTTCCAATATTCGTAGAACGATTCATCATCTTTTTGCTCCACATTGCTGATTTGCTTTTTGAGAGATGAGGAGACAGAGGCAGGATAGTACCTTTCAAGGAAAGCTTTCTTCATGGCCGTCCATGTATTTATACTTCCCGAAGGAAGATGGAATAGCCAATCTTTTGCGGTATCCTTGAGGGGGAATGGAAAGGCCCTCAACTTTATTTGTTCCTCGGTGACTCTATTGGGGCACATGCTTGTGCAAACAACATGGAACTCCAAGAGATGTTTATTTTGGTCCTCCCCTCTTAAGCCATGGAAAGATGCAAGTAGATGTATGAGTCCAGATTTCAACTCAAATGTAGCACCCGTATCAAGAGTTGGGGAAGTGATACATAAGGGTTGTTAGTTTAGATTAGGAGTCGTGAGCTCCCTCAATGTTCTTGTTTCAAGAGCCATAGTTATTGGCTCTTCGAACTCGCTAGAATGAGAACTATCACTTGATGAATCTTCGGTAGATGATTCCTCCGAGTCGGTATTTGAAAATTTACTTTTCAACCGCTCAAAAGTTTGCTCTATTTCCGGGTTTGTTTGATAGGTGATTTCGTTTATTGAACGGTGTTTAACCATATGCTTCACAAAGCTCAGAAATAGAAAAGTAAGATCTCGTTATATTTTGTTTATTTATTTATTTTTATTGAGAGAAATAAAAAGAAAAATAATTGTCTTTCCCCGACAACGGCGCCAAATTTGACGAGCACTTTGTCGTAGTACGTCAAAATAATAAATACAATACAACACTTATACGTAGTATAGTGTAGTAAGATTCGTATCCACAGGGAAAGGAATACTTTTCTTTTAATGAAACTAGTAATTAAAGGGGGGTTTTGGGGTTGAATGATTTAATTTAATAAGAACTTAAGACGAACAACTTATATATGTTTTAATTCAAAGATAAAGGGCTTGGCTTTGCTACTTTCCACTTGTTGAAATATTTAGTCGATCCTTGTTATATCTATAATTTATCTCATCTCGAATACTCAATCGAGGAGTATATTCAATTCATCGAGGATAGTTATTAACAACAACCGTTCATTAACAACTCTTGCTATTAATCAAATATAGAACAACGTCGTATACCGATTTAATAGTAGCATTTAATCTTTTTAACTCCTTCATGAAATCAATTCAGATTGATAACCTTAACACAACGGTTTCGGTTTAACCAACAAAATTAATCCCTCTTAAGTCTATTAACCACGACCATGCATTAATAAACCGAAGTTACTTACTTGTGAAACCATCAACGATTAATCATCGGTTCGTTGATCGTTTCTAGTAATAATTAATGTCAAAGTGTTAACTAATCGTCACTTAGCAACACCCCAACATTAATATAGAATGGGATTAAGGAAATAATTAATATTCAAGAAGAGAAGTTAAGAAAATAACTCACAACTTTAATATAGAATGGGTTTAATAATTAACAAGTTTCAAGAGCAAAACCAAGAAATGGAAGTTTAGCTCCTCATTTGGAGACTAAACATAGCTAGAAAAATATAAAGAAATGTTATTCTAAATTGAGCTTAAGAGTATATGTGAATTGGTTTAATGTGAAGGAAAATGGTTGTATTTATAGGGAAATGGAGGTGGCAGTATCATATACCCGATCGGGTGTGTCGGTCTACCCGATCAGGTATGAGACCAAATCTTCAAATATTTTCATCCCACGATCCTTTGTTTCCCGGATTCGATTTTGACATGTGAATCGAGTCAATACCCGATCGGGTATTGCATATACCCGACCGGGTATATGAACTATTTTCCCAAATCCTTTTTGATCTTGTTCCTTTGCACGTCTTTTGGCCTTTGGGATCCATTCTTTGATCCTTTGAGTGCATTTAACATGTCATATACTCAGAATAAATCTAATCTAAACAATTTACACAAAAATAAGTAAACTAAAACACTACACCAATAGTGTGTAATTTTCAAACTAACGAATCATCATTTTCATCATCATTTTCATTTACCCCAGTGCCGCAAAGGCTCCCACCTACGGGTGGGGTAAGAGGGGGTCGGATGTACGCAGTCTTACCCCTGTACTAAAGCACAGAGAAACTGTTTCCGGATAACCCATAGTGAAAATCTCATCCAAAATTGCATGGACTGAGTGCTGCTTCATAACAAAGAAGCGCAGACAGTTTAATGAATCATTTTGCTTTATTCCATCATAATCTCAAGCTAACTAATCACAAAACTAATTAAAAGTGTACAAATACGATCGAAAATTACACAAATATCACATATGCAATGTTATTATTCTGTTATTCTGTAGCCTGTAGGTCTGTAATTAGTTAATTGTTCATCAATGACAATAATATGTTCGGCCGCCTCCGTTTAACAGTTTTTTAAATCTTTGTCTTGATCCTTTTCGCAAGTGTAGCAGTTTCAAGATGCGCTGAAGCAGCTGCTAGTTGCAATACAAAAGTAAACGAGTGGAAATTTTCCCTCTAAAATGAATAAGTCTGATCGTTGAACAATAGGACCATATATTCCGTACCAGAAAATGGAAATGAACAATAGTTGTTGGGGAAGATGTAGCGCTATGAGCCTATAACCTGTCAAGAAAAATGAACTGAATCACAAAAATACAGCATTTCTGGGTAACGGAAAATAAAAATCATTTTGGAATAAATATTTTGCACCTGCATTGGTGAACTTTAGAACGGAAAAATGCTCAAAAGCACATCAATGGTCCATTATCAGTGATGAGTTTAAAAAATCACTATTTAAAGTTGATATATTTCAACGACCTATAATTAAATATGGATAACTAAATAACAAAAAATGGGGGGTATGGAAAGCCGTTCCAAAACACTATATTTTCAAAATGTACTTAAAATGTACGATTTCTTGTAGTTCAATGATAAAATGTTATTCTAATTTATTTATAAGATTACTGTTTTGAATATTCATTCGATAAAAAATTTGAAAAGGAAACAAATTATGAATTGGTAAGATGTCACTTTGATCCATACATTAACAGATCACTTCATAAGGAAGCTAAAGCTTGTCAAGCTCATGACTATGAATAAAATCTCACTATGTTGTTGTTTAAATAAAACCTAAAAGATGCTTGCCATCCGTAATCCCAAGTTTTAAAAGCACCCTGAAACTTTACTAAAGACCGTATTGGTGTAGAAGAATATTTTCACAAATTATTTAGGAAAAAGTACGGAAAAGGTATCTTGGTTGGACCCGTTTTTAAATAGGATCTTGTGTTTCATTTCTTAACAAAGCAGGTGGTCATGTGTTTAAATTCTGTTATCACATGAGGGGCCCAGCGCCTAACGCCGTTAAAAATCGCCAGATGAAGATGATGAAAATTAACTCTGACTTTCAAGAGTATGGAAAATCGCCAGATGAAGATGATAAAAATCGCCAGATGAAGATGATGAAAAAGTATGGAAAAGGTATCTTGGTTAGACCCGTTTTTAAATAGGGTTTTATGTTTCATTTCTTAACAAAGCAGGTGGTCATGTGTTTAAATTCCGTTATCACATGAGGGGCCCAGCGCCTAACGCCGTTAAAAAACGCCAGATGAAGATGAAAATTAACTCTGACTTTCAAGAGTGAGTGAAAAATTATAAGAAAAATACTGGGAGGTGCGCCTCATCATGGAGACCTCCAAAACATCTTCCTCTTTGGATTTTTTTGGCTATGTTTGAATTACTTTTTAAAAACAGCTAATGTCACTTTTGCGGCGACAAGGTTGCTGGAAATAAAAAAGTAAGATGGCCTAGAGGTCATTTTGACGAGGCGCACTTCCTAATATTTATCATTGATTTTTTCGGGAACTTTTGAAAATCGGACTCACTGTTCATTGTGTTCCTTCGGCGATTTTTAACGGTGTTAGGTGTCGTGTCCTTCCTGTGATAACGGAATTCAAACACATGGCCTACTTTAGTAAGAAATGAAACACAGACTCCTATTTGAAAATGGGCCCAACCACAGACACTTTTTCCATACTTTTCCCAATTACTTATGAGTTTGGTGAGATGTAAGTACCTCTAACCAAATGCATATGGATCATCTGTATATGGGTTCAGTGATCCTTCAGAGAACAAGTCCCCTATATTGGCGGGTTTTGTGTGGACTCCATCATCTATATTGGCTGGTTTTGTGTGACCCCCTGTAGTTGCCTGCATAGCAATTGTAGATCATCAAAGGAACTGGTATCATCAGAGGAGGGCAGTGAAGGGAGTTGGATAGGAAAGAAAATTTGGAGAAAGATAACTGAGCAATTCAAAGTTATTTTTATTTATTTATTTCTGTCATATAGACTAAAAAACTAAATAAAGTAAAATTTTGAAAAGTTCTTATCATATTGGATTTTCCTTCATATTTTCTCAAACAAAACCAAACACAACAAAATTTTCATAGACCTGTGATAGGATTGATCAATACCTTCATCAAAGCATGCATTGGAGTAGTGGCTTTCGGCGTCTCTTTCTTCTTTTGCTTGCCTAACTCCTGAATTAAACCAAAAACTTATGTCTCATTAGATGTCAATGCATTTGTCAGAACACCGCCTATGACTATAAAGTGATGCTATTAATAAAATAATGGATACCTGTGCCCCAAACATGACTGTGCTCTTTGTTCTCCTCCTTTTGGTTACTGTTCCATCATTTGTTCTCTCTACTTCATATTCACGATGAGTAACCTGCACTGTGAATTTTAAAAAATTAAATCTAGAAAGAAAGAAAAAACTATAATTGGAGAAGGATATAGACTAGAGTACAGAAATAGTATTTCATATTATCTATGAATATTCAGCCATCAATGAAAAAGAATCAAGAGGGTAAGACAGGCCATGATTAATGTTCACAAGTTTGAGTACAATCTACAATGAAGTATGAACATTTCTTATGATGCTCTTTTGTTTGCTCAGTTTTCGAAGTCCTTCCATTTAACCAAAAAGAAGGCATACCATCAATGCATTGCTAGTTAATTCAGTATATTACCTTCCTACCATGCTTAGGAAGACTCATCACACTTCCTGTATTAACCTTCTCCACTTTCCTCAGCAAATTTGACACAGGTGTTCCAGATACTTTGAAATAAGCGGAATCCTGTACCAACATAAATAAATATAAACATATGGTAATACACCATTTTATACATTCAACAAAAAGAGGGAAAAGTTAAAGGTCTTTTGGTGTATACCTTATCCTGTACTTCTACTTGGTCAACACCACGTTTGTCCCATTTTCCATTTTCAAATTGTTTCTTCTTACCTGATGAAACAGAATAGTTCTGCAAACCATATGCTTCTCGATCAAAATATGGTGGCATAGTTTTATAAGAAATTGCTCAAAATAGGAGTAAAAGGTTTTTTACTCATGTAGGAAGCAATTGCAAGATGCTTCCCCATTTCTTAGAGATGAACGTGACGAACTTATTCTTATAATCAATTTTTAATTAATAACAAATGCAGCTTTTTTTTCTATTTGGGTTTAGAAGAAATCACATAGCAACTCGAAAACATAAATCCATTTTGTTTATTCTATTGACAATGCGCAACCGATGGATATGTCTGCTCTTCAAGAGCAACCAAGCTATCACTCAGTTGATCACAAGGCCATGGGTGCAAGTGCGCACTGTGCAAGTATTGAAAACAACTAAATAATCCCTCTAGAAATAGAGGTAAGGCAAACCCTAACCCACTATGAAGAGAGACACGCAGCCCCACATCCTAACTATGATCTTTCTGCTAATATGATAAGCTATTTCAAACCCACCAGGTATTAGCATCCTTAACTATGTAAGAACTCCATGTAAAATGTCATTTCAGATGTGTATATTAAAAAGTTTCACCGATTGGGCAACCAATATAGCAGGTCTCATGGAAATACTTCATTCTTTATTGTACCCCCTCCCTCCCTTCTATTTGTCAAAAAACTGCCGCCCTTACTCATTTTAAATGAACCATAGAAGTTATCAGTTTATCACATATTATGTGGATGAACTTGGAGAATAAGGGTTTCAAACTAAGTCGGAGCAAGACAGAGTACATGGAGTGCAAGTTTGGTAGAGGTAGAAGTAGTGGTAATAGCGGAATTACTCTGGATGGTAAGGAGATACCAGTCAGCGATATGTTCCGTTACTTGGGCTCCATAATTCAGAAGGACGGTGAGTTAGATGGAGATGTATCCCATAGAATCAGAAGAGGGTGGATGAAGTGGAAGAGTGCGTCAGGATTTCTATGCGACCGAGGTATGCCGACTAGACTGAAGGGTAAATTTTATAGGACAACAATTAGGTCTGCATTACTGTATGGCGTAGAGTGTTGGGCAGTGAAACAATGTCACATTCATAAGATGAGTGTGGCAGAGATGCGCATGCTGCGTTGGATGTGTGGGCATACTAGGAAGGACCGCGTGAGGAATGAGACAATCAGACAAAGGGTGGGAGTAGCACCTATTGAAGACAAGATGCGGGAGTCGCGCCTACGGTGGTTTGGTCATGTGCGTAGAAGACCGAGTGATGCACCTGTTAGGCGAGTTGAGATGTGTGGAGAAGAGGCAGGGAAGAGAGGGAGAGGAAGACCCAAACAGACGTGGGTTAGGGGAGTTCGAAGTGATATGCTTCTTCTGGGGTTGGATGAGGGCATGACTTTGGAGAGAACTAAGTGGAGGGCGGGTATTCACGTGAAGGAGTGATCTTGATAATCTTTTTCCCTCATCTTTTTTTTCCTAGTTTTTTTTCCTTATATATATAAGCATTATTTGCAGCCTTTTTATTTTATCATTTATATATATATTCATCTTTTTTTATATTATCTTTTCATAATAGCTTATCTTTTTATCTTTATTCCTTCTTTTCCTTTTGGTTGTGATATCATGTATCGATTCATGTTAGCCGACCCCAATATCTTTTGGGACTAAGGCTTGGATGTTGTTGTTGTTGTATGTGGATGAACTTGAGTGGCTATCATTAGTTGATTTACTTGAATACAGTTGTACCTAAAAATTGTCATTAAAGGTAAGTTTCAAAAGAACAATCTATTTTACTGACTCCAAATGAAATTGAAAATAATACAAAAAAGTAGAATATCAAATTGAGAACTACATTCAAAGAAGCCAGGGTGAGGGTGAAGCGTTCATAGGGCGCCAGTATCACCGTAAAAGAAAGAAAGATAAAAATCAGCAAATCACACACACACAAATCAGACTGATTTAGAAGACGAATAAATCAAACAAATCTGGGAGACAAATAAATCAGACAAATCTGATAGACATGTCACAGTCAGGGATTTGAGATCCTTAGAGATTTGAGATATTATTTTCTGATTGCAATCTTTGAATTATTGTTTACTTTTTAGTTGTTTTCTTTATTTTATTTTCCAAACTCTTTAAAGCCTATTTAAAGGCCAGTTGAATGCAGGAAAAAGGCATGCAAGATTTTAGCAAGAAAAGATTAAGGGAGTTTCTGGAATGCTCAATAAAAAATTCCAACTTGTGATAAAAGTTTGCATAATTATATTATTCCTAGTTTTCTGCAAACAGTAAACATAGCCGACCCTTCCAAAGCTCAGCCTATCCTCCCACTCACCCGAAGGCTTGTGATGAGATCTTGCACACAAGCTGCCCATAACATTGGTTCCATTGCCACCGGCGTCATGGGCGATGGGTTGTTTGCATCAAAGGAAGAAGTCTCCAATCTCAAAGAATCCATAGATCACCTTGAACAGCTGATGGAAGAATTACTTGCAGACGAAGGTAAAACTGCAACAACAGAGGCTACCAATGCTGATTAGGCGGTGGTACATGCACTCGACAACATGAATCACATGGCTACTACTCATGGATCACACTTCAAGTTCCCCCTTTTCTCTGGAGCGGAAGAACCACTTGGTTGGTTTTATCGCTGCGAGTTATTCTTCATAAATAAGAACGTCCCCTCTGCAAATTGAGTCTCTATGGCTGCTTAGACTGCTAACTATCACTGGAGATGCTCAGTTGTGGTATCACCATCTACGCCAAGACCAACCCCATATCTCTTGGGAATCTTTTCGAGATTACTACACCACAGATTTGGTCCCCCTAGTGGTGCAAATCCATTGGGATATTTGACAAATATAAAACAACAAGGCTGTCCAATTGAGGAGTACATCACACAGTTTCAGAATGATAGAACACTGGTAATCCGACTCAGAATACAGTAAATTCACAAGCTATTAACAAGAAACAAGATCAATAGAAGAATTATTGATGAAGGAAGGATTACAGAAGGAATACAAGCATAGGACTGTTCGAGAAGCCCCAATCTCCCAGTTTCCAGTCCAACCGAATAACAGCCTACTTCTGCTAGCTCTATAACCTTCTATTTATAGTAAAAGGTCCATGCAGGGACAACCGACTAACGGAACTAACTGATTAGTTAGTTATTAGTTAGTATTAACTGCCTTACTCCTCTTCCTTTGATAAACTCTGTTATAAAACTGAACCGGTTGCCTTGCTGCTTGTCTAACACAGAACAGCCTAGCATGTGTTCCACCATTCACATGGAATACCAAGTTTCCCTTTTCACAACCGGGTTAGATGAGGTGTTGCGCATTTGGAATATCAAAAACCATTGAATCTCACAATGGCGCTCAGTGAGACAAGTTGCAGCTTTGGACTTCAGCTCATCCCAGAACTTTACGACCGACTCCCAAGACATTGCACTGCCCGAGTGCCCGACAACAACCACCACTCCATTACCACCAATTGCAGGACCCTCAATATCTCAATCAGCCCCTCCTCCATACATGAAGAGGTTAAAGTTGAAGCAGCAGAACGGTGAGCGAAGGGACTTTGTTACAACTCTGATGAAACCTATGTACCGGGGCATAGATGCAAACGACTATTCTGCCTTTGGATGGATGATGACGAGGAGGAAGGGTCTGGAAGTCACGTTGAGCCCACAGTTTCCCTTTATGCCATGGCTGGACTTCGTCACCCCAACACGCTTCAAGTGCAAGTCCAATTGGTCGATAGTTATGTTATTGCAAATAATTGATTTCAGGGAGCACCCATAATTTCATCAATGTTCAAACTGCCCTCTCACTCGGGTTGCCAATAACACCTCGCCAGGACTTTCGTGTGGCAGTGGCTAATGGAGAAAGCTATCCAGCACAGGCGAGTGACACTTGGTAAGGTAGGTACCACATTCCAAATTCATCTTTTTGTCTTACCGATAACAAGGCTTGATATTATCCTTGGGGTAAAATGGTTGGAGGAATTGGGTGATATCGTGTGTAACTTTAGGGAGCAAAGGGTCACCTTTACCATACAGGGAAGAACCGTTACTAGGAAAACTCCAGTTTGCACTACTTTGTACTCTATGCATCCAGCAATTTCTAATGATCAAGCAATGGAGGAGCTTCTGAATTAATTTGACACCACTTTTTATGATTCTATGGCATTGCTTCTAACATGCAATTGTGATCACCATATTATTCTTAAAGCTGGGACATATCCTGTTGTTGTACGATCGTATCGCTACCAACAACTGCAAAAGGATGAAATTGAGAAGCAGTGTTTGGAGATGCTGGAAAGGGGACAAATTCAGCCAAGTCTAAGCCCATTTTCATCTCCAGTACTCCTGGTTACAAAAAGTGACAACCCATGGTGCTTTTGTGTAGATTATCGGGAACTCGATGCACAGACCGTTAAGGATAAACTTCCCATTACGATAATTGATGAACTCTTAGACAAACTTCACGGATCTCAGTTCTTCACAAAGTTTGATTTGCGCTCAGGGTACCATCAAATACGCATGACTGCATCAGCCTAGAAGATGTTGAAAAACAGCATTCTGCACCCACCATGGACATTTTGAATTCCTTGTAATGTCATTTGGCTTGTGCAACACACCGTCCACTTTCCAAGCACATTACTTCTAACCGTGATGTGGATGGACTGAGTATATAACAGGGTTTATAACCGCTGACATAGTAAGTAGTAACTAGTAAGTAACAGGGATTCATCACTTCTTTGTATGCATAGTACGTAAATTGTAAGTAGTTCATCAATTAGATAAAAGGGGACATACTTCCTTATGAGTGCAGTTGTAAAATAAATTCAACATTTCAGTATAACAGAGAGCTTAACTCATACTGCAATTATGTAATAAGGTAGGATTATTCGATGTACAATTGTATATACAAACCTTCTTTGAAGTTACTTCTTGGTCTTCTCCCGCATTGCCCATCACCTTCCACTGTAATTGCAACAAAGCCCTTTGCTTCTCCTCCTGATTGAAAAAAAATTAGACGTGGTGAAATTAACAAATATGAACAGCGAAGAGATTCACAACATATACTTTGGACTTCTGAATATCCAACTCTTCCTGAAGTCTTCTACACTCGTCTTCATGCTCACACCTCAAAGCGCTTAATTGAGCATCATGCTCATTCCTGAGTGATATTATTTTCTGTAAAAGGCACACAGATCACATACCACCAACAGAACTAGATGTGAATTGCTAAACATAAATACTGTACATAAAAATACTGATAAGGAGAGTACTTCTCTGAATTCATTTTCAGCATGAAGTTGAATGCGTTTTATCTCATCTTTGTGAGAGGATACAAGATTCATTTCCTTCTTGTCATTCTCTTGCTGAATGCGACTAACCTGCAAATCTCTTCAGGTGTAACCAAGAAATAACAGGCACAAAGTATTTCGAAACTCACACACAACTTTGTGTAAAACTGTAAATATAAACCAGAACTACTGTACCAAAGGAGAGCCTTCTTATTCTGAATCACTACGTGTAGTTATGAATTCTGATACAGATCTCAATGACAGAGATGACGGCCATATTATTATCAATCAGTATGCCTAATTCTGATAGAGATCTCATTGGTAGAGAGTAAGCTTCTAGCCTTCTACTTCCATACTATCTAGGCTAAGAATTACTAGTATTAAGAACATAAAAATCACCATTGAACAATATTTGACTACTGTTAAGCTTCCAAATTAGGCTGAGAGTTACTAGTCTAAACAACATGGAAAGTACCACCAAATAATCTTAGACTAGTGTTGAGCTTCCAAATAAGAAAGTCTTGTAGAAAGACAGATTCTTATACAGAAAATCATACAATACGCGGTCAGTCTGTCAGATTTGGGTTAAGTACATACAAGAGCAGCATGTTCTTCTTGTACATGCACCAAGTACTGCCTAGATTCTTCTCTGCATTCCACAAGCTTCTGCTCGCATTTCTTTTGCATCTCTCCAACAAGTTTATCAGCCTATAGAGTGAACTTAGTTCAAAGCATGCTTACATAAAGTAATATAAATTATCAACGAAGAGCAATCATCAATAAACCTTTTCTTTCTCCATATTGATGCTCGCCACCTTCTCCATCTCATATGTGTGTCGCATTTCATTAATGGCCTTATTAAAATGCCTGACAGGGTCAGCTGCAGAAGTATAATGTTCATAGAATTCTGAAATGATCTGTTTGTAAAAGTGACCTGATCATTTTTCTGAGATATATCCTTTAAATGCCTTGAAAGCTCTAGTTGCTTGTTTTCTAACATCTGGTCATACTGCTTTTTCGCTTCAGTAAGTTTGCTTTCAGCGTCAATCAGAGATTTTTTAATCTGTAATCAATTACAGGGTGAATTTAAATACCACTCAGCTAGTTGTAGTTCTGATGGATAATAAAAGATGAATATGTTCGAAAACCTCAGCCTTCTGATCTCCTAACTCTTTCTCCTTATCCTTAAGTTCAAAAAGAAGTTTATCTTTCTCCTCCAATGCATTAGTGAACTCACTGATTTCGTTTCCCAGTGAACTCACGCGTTCTTCATACTTCGCAATTCCCTCTCGCAAATGATTAATTTCTTCATCCTTTTTCAATAGATCCAATTGTAGCTTGTCTGTGAAATCCTTGTTATCAGCTTCCAATTCAGAAAGCTTTGATAGCAACTCTTGCTGCATGATCAAATATAACATCAATGTACAAAACAGCATCAATATAACACTGGATATCAGGAATGGTTTTACCATTTTCTTATCAGATGCTTTTGAGGTTTCTGATAAAGTTTCAATATCTCTCTGCAACTTGGAAATAGTCAATTCCAATTCTATCTTCTTAGAGCAATGGTTTTCTATATCAGAATCTAATTTCCTGATTTTATCTTCAGCTAAATGGCATTCTTCTGCATGTTGGACCATTGGATATTCTTGATCTTTCTGAAGCGCAATGACCTTATCATTCAAATTCTGATTAGACAACTCTAGAGCATTTCTCTCTGAAACAACACATGTATACCGCTTATGGAGCTTTTCAATTTTCTGTCCAGCAAGTTGAGCAGCAAGGTCTTTCTCTTCGAGGACCAGCTTAAAACAGCTGTCAAATAAAGCATTAAGCTGAGTGACCTTCTCCCAAAAGGTTTGACTTTGATCATCGAGTTGTGTGAGTTTTTTTGTCAACAAATTGACAAAACCGTGAAGATTCTTTATTTCTTGGAGTGCCTTTCCCAATCTGTCAGCAAAACCCTTATTGCTAGATATAAGTTCACAATTTTCTTTTTCTAAACTCTGTGAGATACTGCTCAAAGTTTTCAATTCATCCCCTTTGTGTCTTGATTCAAGATTCAACTCTTCCAATCTAGCATTCAAAGTCTCAATAGCAAGTCCGTCAGATTTGACAGTTTCTTCAAGTTTCATGACTGCGGCATCTAAACATTGGAAGAACATAAATATAATTTATCAATTGAAGCTCAAAAGGTCCCTTTTAAGGAACAATAGGAAAGAAGAAACTATAACATCAGTTGGGCACTAGTAAAGCAGTCACTGGTGACACGACCAAGGACAAAGGCAACCTAACAATAAAACTTGAGCACATCTTTATCACCGCACCCTTAAAAACAAGATCAAAGACTGGATGATATAATATTGTCAAAAGGCAAAGGTAGAGAACATAAGATAAATAAACACTGTAAAATTTCTTAATGACCTACCGAATGAAACTTCCTTTCTGAGTTTAGGTAGCACAATGCATTCCTATAAAGAAACACTTGTGAAAACTATTATGACTTCATGCTTGGATAAAACTATATAGGGGTTGCATGCACTTGTCCAAAATCATATCCTAGCCCACTGGTCTCCCCAAACACCCCATTTACAAGAAACACAAACTGTGGGTTCACATATAAGAATCTCTACTGAAGTCAATCCTAGAGATAAAGTTGGCATGAAGGAAGTAAGAACCACTCTCTGCTAAATTATGATGAGAAGTCAAACTAACTGGCTCTGACAGCAAATTATTACAGCTAGAATTGATACAGGCTTAATCACATCAGAAAAGGGCATCAAATTTAAGGTATGGGATACTGAACCATGTATACTTCCACAGTTCTATCAAATAAAATCAAATTGAACATGCACTGCATGTATAGACAAAACTAACAGTGGCGTAATATTCATCTGGTTTGGAAAGAAAAAGGAGACAATGAATCAGAACAATACGGTATCAAAACTGAAATTTAGTGCGTCTCCTTTTTCACAGACAGAGAAGACATTAATCTTAGTGAAACTTTAACTGTTTGTCTTCATTGCACAATACTCAACAATTATATGAATTTGAAGCAATAAAATGGCTTCTGATTAACAGCGCAGATAGAATATCATCATGACTGGTATCTTTATCTCCTACAGCTCAAAGAACCTAAAACTTCTCCTTGTCTCCTTCGTGCATAATATTCTTGAAGGAACTAAAAACTCCCCTCAACTACAATGCATTTTATAAGATTAACTTTAAAATTGTCTATGATAAATTTATGCGCAAACATAGATGGAGTACCTTTTTCAGCAATTAGCTTGGAGGCTTTATTGTGTTCATCCTTGAAACTTTCCTCCATTCTCCGCTTCTCATCGCAAAGTTCTTTCAGCTCATTTTCACCTTAATAACAATTAAGTAACATATCATCAAACTAAACATAGTCACGTTTCAAGAATAGTTATGTGTCCAAAAAAAACCTAGTTAGAGACTTAAGGCGGGACAATATAAACATAAAACCTACGATGTCTGATAGTGTCTTCTGAAGATTTCAGCCTCAATGATAGAGTCTGCATCTGACCATGCAAATTATCAAGAGAAACTGATGATGCAGATAGTTTATCTTCGAGAAATGCTTTAACCTTCTCCGCTACAGAGCATGTTGCAAGGTTAGTACCAACCACTGTTCCATCAGTGAGTTGTTCACACAGTGTGCAAAAAGTTACCTACCATCCTGTACAAGGCCAGCTAGATGTTGCAAAGTCTCAGTGAGTTGATCACACCAGGTCTTTGTTGAAGTGAACTTTGATTCCAGTCCTTTCCAAAGTTTCTCGTCTTCTTTTTGCTTAACTTTCAATTTTGCATTTTCGTTATAAGCATTTTGTAATTTTTCTTCCAGAACACCAGTGTCTTCCGTCAATTTCTTCAGCTTAGAGTTCTGCGTTCATTTATAATCAGAACACTCAATTCCAATGCAGAAAAGAGTTGTAACAAATCCACTCCACTAGTTGTCACTCCACCAAATACCATATAGCATATCCTCCGTGTGTGTATGTGCCTACTAGAATGTAGAAGCAAGTATTTATAGAAACTACAGAAAGAGAGATTGTTTACAGCTAACTGAAGATCACTTTTGGCAGAAGCTTGCTCCTTCACCAATTTCTCTGGTAGAAATCATAACGGTAATGTGTCAAAAGAGAAAGCACTTTCCTCATAAATGCACACAGATAAGACCAGAAATCTGATCAAAATACCTGCAGTTAGCTTCAGATTCACGAAACTTCCCGCAGAAACTGAATCTGAAGAGGCGCGCGAAGGAATAGACAAATTCTTTGCAGCTCCAGGACGGGAAGCAGTTAACGACTTGAACCGATCCGTGCTGTTCAGGCCTGATAGCCCTAAAAGTTTACTCATCTCGAGATCAAACCAACAATCACTTCTTCAAACCCCAAGATGTGTTTGTGACCTTACGTATGTAAATCCTTAGCTTTTTCCCAACGAAACTTTACCTTAAGAGATCGACAATTGTCAACTTGGAGTTGAGGAGAAGAGGAACTCCATGAAGTTAGCAAATGTACGTAGTAACGTACGTAGTATATCTATTACGGAGTATCTAATACTGCTGGACAGCATTGGCTGCATGCGTAGGCGGCATTTTCTTATTACATGGGGTCTGATAGCCAACTTAACCCTTAAAATTGGAGGCAATTTTCCCTCCAATATAATAGTGGTAAAAACTTTATTTATTTTTTTAGTCCAGGGGAGGAGGTCTGGAGTAATCATGGCTGAAACTCACTCCATTGAGTTTCAAACACTTATGTGCTAACGGGTTTCGAACTCGAGACTTCTCAGTAGGCACGGTAAAAACTTTATTACTGCACACTCCCTCCGTCTCATTGGATTTTGATAACTTTCTCTTTTTTGTTGTCTCAAAAAACTTTATCACTTTCTTATTAAAGCAACTAATTTGTGGTTCTGCACATTTCTCTCTCTTCTGCACAAATTTCAATCACACAGTTTTCACTATTCTTATTTCTCACCTATTTTGCACTTGGCAAAGTCCACCGGGACAGAGGTAGTATTATATAAATATGCTTACTCTTAGCATGTTGAATGGGATTAACCGAGAGATATGAAGCAGAGACAATATCACAAAATAAGTGGTGGATCACCGACCCTGGGGTAGCCGGAATACGGGAATATAGGAGAGAATAAAAGGTGTTAAGTAAGATCAGGTCAAAATTTTAGCAGAGTAACAGTAATCTAGCGCTTAGAATTTTGGGATCTCTTTCCACGGGGTTGGAAAGTGATATTTATACTAAGGCAGAAAATACTTGGCCAACAAGTAAAAAGATGATATATTCTATTGTGAGGTGACACATGGCACATCGGTCTAACAGGACATTTGTACTACTCCAACAAGGAGGTGACACGCGCAAAGGTGATTGGAGAGATAATTGGGACAGCTAGTTGATTGGCGCTGCATATAACTGATTTTGTTGTTTGTGCCAAACTGTACACTTGTCATAGACAGAGGTGAGCCAGAAGGAATATGAGCCCAAAGTAACATAACAATGCACAAACTGATCTGCCCAAGTGATTTGAGAAATAGTAAGCACATCAGAGTTCCAAAAAAGCCAAATTTTGCCATTAGGATGAAGGAAACATTCAGAGCAGCCCATATCCCTTTTAAATGATTCCCCTTTATTATTATCAACCATAGGTTCAAAGATTGAAATTAAATGAATGTAGAACTGCCTAATAAGAGTAGAAAGCCTTGGGTAGGATGAAACAAGGCCTCTGATATTCCAGAATAAGCAATTCATGGAATTTTATCCATGTATAAGGTTATCATCTTGTTCTTTTGGTGTTTGCTCTTCTTTCATTTTAACAATATGGGCAACTTTAACTTGCAGGGATTCTGGTTCTTTTATCCAGACCTCCTTTTCGGATATTTGAGGTGGGTTCTCTCCATCTGAAGTGTTGGTCCAAAATAGGACGTTCGTAGGCTTTTAGGAAAGCTACGTACGACACTCAAGCAAGAATTAGGAAAGTACGAATATGGAAAGTTAGCCAGAAATAGCATATCTGTATTTGAAATTCGAATTGCCTTTTATAGGCGATTACAAATGGTAACTGCCGAACATAATAATGACTAAATTAATTACAACATTAATACAGAATTAAACACATAATTAAGTCGCGCATTAATTGTTGGTCGTTACTCTTCTTGGCTGGCAGGTCAGCCTGACTGGCAGGCTGGACGCTTGAGCTCCCTCCTGCTGGACTGGATGGTGGGCTTCCCGCTAGGCTGGAGGAAGGCTTCTGACCGGGCTGGAGGCAGGCTCCCGGGTAGGCTGGAAGGCAGGCTCCCGGGTAGGCTGGACCGCAGGCTTCCAGTTGGGCTGGACCGCAGGCTCCCAGCTGGGCTGGTGGTCGGCAGGCTCCTGGCTAGGCTGGAAGGCGGGCTCCCCACTGGGCTGGAAGGCAGGCTCCCCACTGGGCTGGTCGACAGGCTCTCTTGGGCTTCCGCTCCTTGATTGTCCTGGTTGGTTGGGCTGACTCGAGCTCTGGGTTGCTGGGCTTGGGCCCGCTGGTCCAAGTTCGGGGCCTGGGCCGATTAGGCTCTGGGCCTAGTCCCATAACCCCATCAATGGGCGGCCAATTGGGATCCGATGAATTCTCGGGCAATAGGGTGTCGCCCGGCATCCCCAGGCGAAGGCAAGCTGGCTGGGCGTCGTTCTCGGGGTCCGGTAAATATGGTCGGCGGGTTTGGGCTCCATGTTGGTCGGCGAATTTTACTGGGGTTTGAGGCTTTGTTACTTCTCTTTTTTTTGTCTTTGCAGGTTCGCTTCCCGTCCGGCTGAATTATTTTCAGAATTTGGGGACTCCGTAGCTACCATGGCTCCTAGGCAGTGATGTCCTTGCAGCCAAGGCTCCCGGGCAGTGAGAAATAGGAAGGTGATCCATTCCTCAAGGTGAGCAGACAAGCATTAGTAAAATGTTACACATTGAACCGGCTGAGAGAATACTGATGACGAGAGACCTCCACTAAACTTGGCGACCACCCATCGAGAGGTGAACAACCATGATGAAGACCGCACTGAATTCAGATTCCAGGAGAGTTCCTTGAGATTCCTAGCAATTCGTGTGTCTGGATCATTGTACTTGATGGCCATGGGAACATCCGGCCATGATTGTTGCACCTCTTTTTTTTTGTAGCTTGTAGCCACCATATGTAAAATTCGAATGAATATTACCTTTTAATTCATATGTTTCCTTTTCTATACTTTGCATTACGAATACTTAGCAATTTATTCGGGGATCTGGCTTCTCTAACCTCCCGGGGGGCGGTTAGGCTGGCGTGGCCGAGCCTATCCGTGCCTCTCCTAGTTGGATAGAAGTGATCTGTTCGCTATTGATATGGAATCAACAAGTAAGCGACTTGTTTGGCCAGCAAGGTCGGACATTGAACCGACGAGGAAGACCCTTAGGTCGGTATCCTGAACGTTCATGACCCGGGGGTCAGTCCTACTGTCACTTTAACCCGTCCAGTTTGCCCGGACTTGGGGAATAATCTGGTTACTCCCGCATGGATAGGCAAACAACAGGGGCGGACCCTGCATGATCCACCAGAACGAACCCGCACCGCCAACTCAGGGATGACGAGAGTGCGAGCTGCTTGGCCAGCGATGTTAGGCGGCGAGCACTCGAAAGGACCCGGAGGTCAGCATCCTGAGTACCCTCGACCCGGAGGCCGGCCTTACCGTCGCCTCGACTGTCGCGGCTAGCTCTTTACTTTAGAAAATTGCCCAGATTCTTGAAAATCGCTTGGCTATTTTCGGTTAAAGAGCCTGGCCGAGGTCGGCCAAACACCGAGGGGGGGCATAGTACCTTTTTTTTTTGCCGCCGCCCTTTAATGCTAAGTGAGGTCGGACCTCTTTTGATGACAAAATATTGCTAGCAAAGTATATTGAATTCATGATGTGGGCGGACCACATGAAGAATTACAAATTGTAATCCCGTGCTCGGAGCACAGGAGTTTACAAAGAAAAGTGAAACTTCGATTTTCTACTGGTAAAACTTCATCAGGTGCTCGGCATTCCAGACGCGGTCTACCAACCGGCCTGTTGTTGTCTTCAACTTGTATGTCCCACGGCCGATCACTGCGTCAACCACGTAAGGGCCTTCCCACTTGACGGAGAGCTTACCTCCCTCTGTCGGCCTGCTGGCCTTCCTACGTCTTAGGACATAATCACCGACGTCAAAACTCCAGGGTCGGGCTCGGCTGTCTTGGTACGCCTTGACTTGTCGTCGATAGTTTTCCGCTTTGATGAAGGCACGGTCTCTTCTTTCCTCAATGAGGTGGAGCTCGGCTCGGAGCCTCTCCTCATTGCTGGCTGGTTCAAACTCTTCTACTCGCCGGCTGGGAACTACGGCCTCGAACGGTGCCCTCGCCTCAAAGCCATAAGGCAAAGGGGGTCTCTCCTGTTGCCTTCCTTGGGGTTGTTCTGAAGGTCCAGAGTATATTGTTCAACTCCTCCACCCAGGCAGTCCCGAGGGCCTCCAACTTCTTTTGCAGTCCATCGACGATCGTCCGGTTGGTATTCTCCATCTGTCCATTTGCCTGGGGGTAGCAGACCGCAACTCGGCTGGATTCTACTCCCCACTCTGCACAGAATTGCCGGAAGGCTTTGCAGTCAAACTGCCTTCCGTTGTCGGAGATTATTTGGAGGGGAACCCCAAACCGGCAGAAAATATTCTTCCATATGAACTTCTTACATTGGAGATGTGTGATGCTGGCAAGCGGCTCGGCCTCAACCCACTTCGTAAAGTAGTCCACCGCGACGATGACAAACTTCCGGTTTCCCGACCCGGTTGGTAAGGGACCGACCAGGTCGACACCCCATCTTGTGAATGGAAGGGCGGTGCTGATCGGTGTGTACATCGTTGCTGGTCGGCCGGGGCTCTTCTGGAATTTCTGGCATGTCTTGCATCTCCTTGCATAGTCAGCGCAATCCTTCATTATTGTTGGCCAAAAGTACCCCTGGAGGACGACCTTCCTAGCTAACGTGCCTGCCCCCTGATGGGCGGAGCATACGCCCCCATGAAGTTCAGAGACGATCATTTCCGCCTCATGTGGGCGTAAACACTTTAGCAAGGTCCCATTGTAGGACCTCTTGTACAACTTCCCATCCAAGACGACGTAGCCCGGAGCTCGTCGCCGGACTAACCTTGCCTCCTCTTCTCTATCGGGGAGCGTCCCATCGGCTATGTAGCGTGGGAGGTCATCCACCCAACACCAGGCGACTGGTTGCAGGGGAAGGACGTCAATGGACGGTGAGGCTGATATGCTTGAGGTCGTCATCTCCTCAATGCGTGCAATTCTCGATATATGTTCAGGTAACCCTTGGGATAGCTTTGAGAGGAGGTCTGCATCGGAGTTTTGATTTCTCGGGATGCAGATCAACTCTGCTTGCTTGAACAACCCGAGCAACTCCCGAACAACATCTCGATACTTCATCATTCTTTCTTCCTTTGTTTCGAACTCACCTTTGACCTGTGAAACCACCAGACGGGAGTCACATTTCACCGTTATCCACTCTGCTCCCATGGCGGCCGCCAATCGTAGCCC